TGAGGATTGCCAATATATACCAAATCCAACTAATGATGCTATCATATGTTAGTTTATAATTAAGCATTTAATTAGGCTTTAATTTGAGCTTAATATGTAGCAAATTAATTAGGCATCACAAAAATATGGTGGTGAATTATTTAACCATATTTACTACAATATGAATTAATTAATCAAGTTCCCATTAATCAATTAGTAAGGGGTTGTTTGGTTATGAGACAAGTCACGCAAGAATAAGTATAATGCTAGTAATTACAATAATTACGCAGATTAGTAATGTAAAAACTATAATATAAGAATTAGTATAATATATAGATCAATATCCTTAGTTATGATTTTTCCCCCCCTTCTTTTTAGGTTGACTTCATTATCACAGGGATTAGGGACATGCCACAAATTTGAGAAAAAGAATTAAATATCTTTTTAATTTTGTGAAATGTTTACTTTTTAAACAAAATTTAAAAAATTCTTACTACAATTAAAGTTAGTTTAATCCATATATTACTAATATATGTCTTCTTAGCTTCTATATAGAGTATTACTAATAATTAGTTTGTTATCAATATATATAACTATCTATTTATCACCCAACAAAAACAATCTATTTATTTTACTTGTTATATTCTGTTTGGCACGCTCTTTAAAAAAATATTAATTAAAAATTAATTTGACTAAATTATTTATTTATTTGTTCGTTTTAATTTAATATTATTATTTTTACTATATTAATTTCTTTGTTTTTATTGAGTAAAGATAAATATAAAAATAATAATTAATTTAAATCAATCATTTTTAGAGTATTTATTTTTTTGTTTTTATAGAAAGGACAATTATATCATGGTGAAGTATATCCATGGTGACAAATGTCTGTTAAAGATAAAAGGATAGGTTGATGATTGGTTTTTTTTATTTATTGGAAAATGGAATAAAATAGATAAATATAAAATATATATTATGGATAGTATTATAATATTTTTGTGGGGTCTTATCTTATCCAAAATAGGGATTTGAGAGGCCATAGAAGAAGAGCCTGTCTTATCTTATCAACATTTTCTTGTGATAATATTCATGAGTTCCCTTCATTTTCATCTGTAAATTATAAAGGAAAATATTAATGGAAGTAAATACTTTTCAAAAAATGACATATATTTGAACTCTCAACAACAAAACACCATGAGTAGAAAATAGACTATGAACTATTAATTAAAGTACTTTTCTTTAAATATATATATGGTCATGAAATGACAAGTGTATATTATTTTTTAGGGTTGAGATTAATTGAGTGATGGAATTAAGAGGCAATTTGGATTTTGGTGGAAAATGATAGTTAATCACCACATAAAATTTTATAGTGCGGCTATCAGTAGCTTACGCATGATTTTTTTTTAAACAATATTATATATACATAAAATAAATAAACATTATAGGTTATATTACAAATAGAGAATAATATAAATAAAATACTATTTACATATATTATTATCATCACTTAACTTAATGAGTTTTCATTTTTGGAAATGAACTCAAAATGTTCTCATTAGGAAACTCAAACTTTTAACTCAACTAATTGGGGAAGCAGGAGCATAATTTTATTAGTATAAAGCACAAAAATCACAACACTTGGAGTTTAATTACATCCTATTCTGGAAGTTTGTCCAATTATAAAAAATTTAATTTTTTCATTGCTCTCGGATATAGTTCTTGGTTGTCTGATACATTGTAAATGCTACATTACTTAATGGGAGGAATGTATCCGAAAGGGGATAGCCGATAGGAATATATCCGAAAGGAAATTTTATCGCCTAATATAAGTATATGTTATTATTGATTGAGGATTTTGCTATCCTCCAAGAGGTCCATGGTTAAGTTTGAAAATGAAGTACTTGAATCGATTGAGTTGCAACATGTCAACTAGTGTCACTATATTACATTTATCTTCGTCTTTGTTCTAGCTTTTCGATTATATATACATATTTAATAATTTTGTTCTCCCCTCTTAGGTATAAATTATTATATGTGAGATATGTTCAATAAGAATGTGTACAACAACAACAATATTTTTTTCCAAAAAGTAAACAATGGGAATCTCTAAATGTGTTACATCATGGGGAAAAAGTGAGCACTCATTGTATTTGAAGATTCAAAAAAAATAAAATCATGATCAACATACAAGCAACAAGGCCTATCATATAGGATCTGCTTGTCTAGGAATTTTCCATATTATCAATTACTAGGATTTTCATATCACCAAATCTATCGTCTTTCAACTTATTATAAGGTTGAACTTCATAAATTGTTCTGGAATTTTAAATGCTATAATTTTTTTAATAAAAAATTTGAATCTTAACGTTGTGTGTTGGCGTTGTCTCATATTTTAAATAAGGCTATTTGAGTGTTACTTTCGTGATAAAAAGTAGTTATATTTTTATTATATTCAAAATGATGACTAAATTTTGATTGTCGATTCAAAAGTTGTCTATCCCACCTAATTTACAGGTCAGGAAAGGGTTCGGATTCTTCGATTTCATCCACTTTGTTGAGGAAGAACATGAAAACTTACGTAGCTATGCTATATTAAGAAAATATTTATCATCTATATTAATAACATTTTTTTCACTGTACACTTATAATACATTTATAATATAGTTTTAATACATGTTATAGAGAACAATTTATAAAACATGTATACTACAAGTTTTAGAGCCCGTTTGGATTGGCTTAAAAAAGTAGCGTTTTAAGTCAAAAATAAAAAGTCAAACTCAAATGACTTTTAAGTCAAAATATAAAAAGTAGGGGGAGACTTACTTTTGGTTTTTGACTTATTTTAAGTCATTTTTTACCTTGTCAAACACTTCATAACTTATTTTAAGTCATTTTTGACTTATTTTTTATATTTGTCAAACACCTTCAGAAGTAAAAAAAACTGACTTAAAAGTAGGTTTGACCAACTTTTAAGTCAATCCAAACAACCTCTTAATCATGGATATTGCATTTATAACACACTTTAGTACATTTAATACATTGTGTAATTTCTTACCAGACAAACATAATATATTTTAAAACACTTATAATACATTTATATTGCATGTATATTCACTTTTTAATACATAACATATTTATCTTAGTATTATTATGTATTGCTATAGATGGTAATAAATAAAAAATATCGCTAAAACTAGTAATTATTTATTAAAAATAGGGAAAAAGGTCTGAAATATATCCGAACTTTGACCGAAATTGTTGTAACAATACCGAACTTTGGAAAGGACCTTTTACCACCCTGCACTATTTAATAGTGTATTTTAAAGGTATATATGTGCCCCTATGTGTCCACGTGGGCTCATATATACCTTTAAAATACACTTTTAAAAATTACAGGGGATAAAAGATTCTTCATAAAGTTTGGTATCGTAATAGCAATTTCACTCTTTTCCCTAAAAAAATACTCACCCAAGTAATTTCCCCGGAAGGATATTAGATTGGCCCATATCTGAATGAGCTTTATTTATGAGCCCATTAAGAGGCCCATCTAATCTGGTCTACAAAAAGCAGAGTTTTGAGTAATAATTATTTAAAGTTTTTAAGTACTATCAGTGCAAAATGTATTTTTTTTTTACACTCCCTAGGAGCTTCCACCCCTTTTGCTCCCTTGGTGACTCGAACTCGCAACCTTCGGGTTAGAAGTGAGGGGAGCTTACCATCCGAGCAACTCCCTCTCATCGTGCAAAATGTATTTTTATAATAATATTAGTGTTTTTTTAATTTGTTTCAGTAGATTACATATAAAAATAAGTTCAAAGTTTAGAAATGAATTGTGAAACACGTTTGATTGGTTATATAATTACTTACTGAATATGGTAATTAGAGGTGAGGGAAAAGCGAACTCTGTGAAACTTTGTTGTAAACACAACAAAAAACTTACTACAAACTCCCCATTCAAAAAACAAGAACGAAATAAATGAACACATGCACCAAGTCATTCAAGAAGCAATATTCAAATAGTATAACAATAACTATGTCTCAGTCCCTAACAATTTAGGTCGGCTATATGAATCCTCACTAATCATATTATTCAACGGGAAGGGAAAGATAATTCCACGAAACTTTGTAGTAAACAAAACAAAAAACATACTACAAATTTCTCATCCAAAAAAACAAGAACTGAATAAATGAACACACGCACCATGTCATTTAAGAAGACCTATGGGACTAGTTCAACAACATCTCAGTCCCAAACAAATTGGGATGAACTATATGAATCCTATTGATCATATTAATTAGAGTTGAAGGGAAAACCAATTCAGTGATGCTTTCAACAAAAAAAACACTACAAATTTCTCATTCAAAAAAATAAGAACGAAACAAATAAACACATGCACCACCTCATTCAAGTAGCAACATGTGAATAGTACAACAATAACAACACCTCGTTCTCAAATAAAATAGGATTGACTATATGAATCTCACTGATCATATTAATTAGAGGTGAGGGGAAAACCAATTCCGTGACGTTTTCAACAAAACACACACTATAAATTTCTCATTTAAAAAACAAGAACGAAATAAATAAACACATGTACCACCTCATTCAAGTAGAAATATGCGACTAGTACAACAGCAACATCTCAGTCCCAACCAAGTTCTTGTATGAATCCTCACCGACCATATTAAGTAGATGTGAGGGGAAAATCAATCCCATACTATAAATTTCTCATTCAAAAACCAAGAACGAAAGAAATGAACACGCACCACGTCACGTCATCCAAGAAGAAATATGCGACTAGTACAACAACAATAACATCTCAGTCCCAAACAAGTCGGGATCAACTATATGTATCCCACTGGTTATATTAATTAGAGGTAAGGGGAAAACCAATTCCATGACGTTTTCAACAAAAAACACATCCACCACCTCATTCAAGTAGCAATATGCAACTAGTACAACAATATCTCTGTCCCAACCAAGTTGAGGTCAATTGTATGAATCTTCACCGACCACATTAATTAGAGGTGAGGGGAAAACCTATCCCGTGGCGTTTTGTTGGAAACACAACAAAAAACATACTACAAATAACTCCAACTCCAATTGGCAAAGCAACAAGCAACTCCTCTATTTCATCAGAAGGCTTCGGATAAAAACAATTCACCACATTCTGATCAAACATAGCTATAGCAGCAAAAACCAACATGGACATAAAACCATGCAAGAAATCAATAAATTTCAACTTATATTTCCTTGCAATTTGATTTGGAATTCTTATTGATCCATCAATTATCCACAAACCTCGTATCGTCGCGAATCCATAGCTAATTTTCCCTTTCTTGTCTTTAAAACTATCAGTAAAACTCAATATAAAACATGATAGTCCACATAGTGTAACAAGTGATATAGTTAAAAATTTACAAATTTTGTCACAATTGCCTTGATTTGTAAATATTGGTGACAAAAGTTGAAAAGCAAGAACAGAACCAGTAGGTAGAAGATTGGCTAAGTGTGATGTGCTTTGAAATGTTTGACTAATTGCTTTTTGTATAATGTTTTTTTCAACTTCTGGTAATTCTAAGTTTTCTTCTAAGAGGGGAGATTTCTTTTCTTGTTGTACCACTTTAATCTCCATTTCAAGTTTGTGTTGGGTTTTTTGTTGTGTGTCAAGAAGCATTTATAAGCACAGAGACAGAGTCAGGATTTAAAGCGTATGATTTGGAAAGGTTGGAATTGAAATTACTGAATTCTACTGAATGTATTTTCTACACTCTAGCTTCACCCCTATTTATAAGTGAAGGAAAGAATTGATTTCAGATCACTCAATTTTTAATAGCTTAGTTTTGTAACAGAAAAATAACATAACAATGTTTATACATCACAACAACAACAACAATAAAACGTTGTAAAAAGTTATTTGTTTGATACTATGGATGATGATATCCTCCATATTTGGTGCTTATAGTTATAAAAAAAAGTATGTAAAAGTTTACCACTTTAATGTATGGATGATGAAATTAGTTTGGATATATGATAATACCCATACCACTTTAGCAGTTGTATTAACAAATTTTTTTTTAACTTTTATGAAATTTGCATCTTTTTTAATTAACAATTCTTAGGTAGATAGTTATGAACGGATTAAAACTAGTAGTAACAGAGCCGCATGTATAATTGACACCATTTCATCATAAATTATATTGTATAGCTAGATAAAAACGTTTTTTTTTTATGTATATATATTGACTCCCTAGGCTTCTTCGTGGTTTATTATTTTATATTTTGATATCCCTCAGTGAAAATTTGATTCCATCACTAATAATTAAATTCGCTTTGAACGTTAGCAAAGCTAATCATCTTAATTCCCTTCATCTGATGAGGTTTGGACCAAAAGAAACTTTATTGGGCTGCCCTTTACTTGAAGGCCCATAGATGTGTGGCCTCTCACAAAGAGAATGAACAAAAAGGTGATTTATGGGGCAAAGGCACGGATACTGGATTTTGACGTTGTTATTTAACTTGTACTCACTCTTTAAAATGTTTTCATACACTATTGAAAAATATACAATATTGTTTCCACGTGAAAAAAATTAGGAAACTTTATCGTATTTCAGTGAAAATCGGTTTTCCATTATACATGTCCGACTGAACTGGTTTGTTGAAAAATGGTGGAAAAAATCATATTTTTATAACACAAATTTCTTATTAATTCGTAGTGGGAAAAGCCTAAATTCTAATAGTGACATAACACCAGGAAGCAGACAAAAAGAGATCTTATTAGTTATTTCTTTTGAAAGAAGAATAATGTAGTGTATATTCATCAAAAAGCAATGAATAATTAAATTTTAACAGTTTAGAATATATATTATTATTTATTTATTTTCGTTCGATGTTCGATATAAACATTGATTTGTATCGCGTAAAATTTAAATGAAGTGTATATTATAATCGAGCAAGTTTGTATATTAAATAAACTAATTTTCATATATGAAACTTTGGGTTAGATGAGGTTGGTTGAATGGAAGCTGGGGTTGGTGTAACTAAATTCTTATAACTAAGACTCAAGAGCCAAAAAGAAACCAAAAAATTGGCCCCAAAAAGCTATAATAGGTTAGGAAACAAGGAGTTGTCACAATAAATAAATAAAGCGGAAAATGATGTTCTGGCTAACATTTAGGATTGCGGTAGAGTGGATAATATCCCTTTAATTTTAATTAGAGTTTTTGAATTTGAGGCTTAGGTATTAAAAAAATAGCAGAAAAAAGACAAGTAGATACCTTTCGGCCTATGTAATTGAAATATAGTCATTGTAATTACCATGCATGAAATTTCATCTGGAGATTTGAAACTCCATGACATTGGTTATTTCTTAAAGACAAGGCCAAAACATGACAATTGAACGCTATTTCTACAAATATAGGAAATTTCTTCTTTAATAGGTGTTATATTACGCTGTGCAAGTTCAAATTAATTAGGGTCTTAATATGAGTATCGAATACTGGATGAAATATAAAAAGAATCCAAGACCATAGTTTAACATTTTGCTATCATGATTATTGATGCTTGCTTTTTCTTTTTGAAAAATAACAGATGCAAATTCAATTTGAAAAGGAAAAAGAAAAAAGAAAAAGAGAAAGGTAACATCAAAACCATGACTTTTTTTTTTGGCTAATTAATAAGAGGCAAGAGTGACCTTTTCTTATAATGATATAGGATTTTATCAAACTTTTGTACCCTTTGAAAAAATTGAACACATTGAAACTTAAAGTTGGCCGGAAAATTATTTTTCCAAAAGAGTTTTACTGTAAAAAATAATAATATTAATTATATGAGAATTTTACACAAATTTTATAGTGTTAAGAGCTAATTATATCTAGTTCCTATTCTTTTTCAAATTACAAAAATTCCTTAAATTTGGTGCAATCCCGATACATCCCAAAAAGTCTCAATACATAGCGTCCCGATTTTAGATACATCGCTCAACGGCCAGATGCATCGCGTCACAATTTCGAATACATCACTCAACACCCGATACATCACTCAATGTCTCGATACATCGTGTAAAGTGATGTTATGTGATGTATAATAAAAGAGAGTAGGGATTGTAATTTTTCAAATAGTAGGAAATTTTAAAGAATATGATAAAACTAAGAAAATATTAATACTTAACCTTTTTAGGCATAGAATAAGAATAAAACTAAGAAAATATAATGTTCATAATGATCTTATGAAACAATTATAAAAACAAATAATATCCTAATTTTTATGTTCATTAGAAACTTTGAATTTGAATCCTAAAATAGAAAAATTATTGGTATAACGCTTCCTCTTTCAATAGTATCTAACTAACGCAAACTTAAATTATTAAGCAAAAAATTTCGACTATTGAAAATATAAAAAAATGTCTATATTACAAGAATAGATTTGTTTTCACAATTAGAAATTTTGCCAAACCCCCTATACTTTTGTCAAATGACAGTTATCAGCCAACCCTCAACTAAAAGTATGCCAAATTAATGCTTTAGATTTTTCAACTTTCTTCCCCAATTATGATATATTCTAAAGAGTATCATCTTACTATAGTTAAAAATAATTTTATTTTAAAATTATCTTTTTATCTTTAATAAAATAATTTACAGCCACACAAATAATATCTAATAATTGTTTTAGATTATGAACTTAAAAAATCTTTCTTTATTTTTTAAATATCGTGTTAAGTCAAACGATGTCACCTAAAATGGATAGGAGGGAGTACCAAATCAACTTTTCTTTTTTCAAAGAGTACACACCAAAAGTCCAATAAAATACTCCATTTTTTTTCTCTTTCTACTTCCATTTTATTATATATATATAACATTAAAATATATATATATATATACTCTCACTTCATTCTCTATAAACTAGCCAAATTTTTTTCTTCTAAATACTCTCAACTTAAATCACAACAACACCAAATATATAGAGATTTTTTATAAAAAAAAATCTTATAGATGAGTGGTGGAGAGATCATAATTATTTATAATGTTATTTTGGCTATACTTGCAATTATCATCATATGTCTTGTTATTCTACTCTTCATTTGTTACAAGAAAAAACCAATCAAGGCTGAAGAAACTCTTCCAACAAAGCAAGTTGCATGTTCTTATTCATTAATGGACATTCATGGAGCTACGGATGGATTCAATTATCGAAGAATCATCGGTCAAGGACGTATAGGAAGTGTATATGTAGGTATATTACCAAATGGAGATCAACTAGTAGCTATAAAAAGGATCCATCCTAGGCTTGTATTGAGTAATGCTGGCTTTGGTTTCACATCGATTATGAAATGGCTTTCTTTAGCTTATCACCCTAACATTGTGCCAATTTTAGGGTTTTCTGAGGCTCCTGGGGAAAGAATCGTGATAACAGAATTTGGAGGTATGTTGAGTCTTGATTTCTACTTACATCAAAATCGCGATCATGATGGTGGTGCTGGTAGTGGTGGGACGTCCTTATTAGATTGGAATTGTAGGTTGAGAGTTGCTGCTGGTACAGCTAGAGGAATAGAATATTTACACGAAGTTATGGCACCACATATAGTGCATGGTTGCATTAAACCCTCGAATATATTAATAGATGTCAATTTTTGTGCTAGGGTTTGTGACTATGGTTTGTATTTTTTCTTGACATGTTATGATAAAAGGGAATTAGGGTTAATGGGATATGTTGATGATGAATATTGGATTGGTAATGAAAAAAGGGGTTGTTCTAAAGAAAGTGATGTGTATGGATTAGGTGTTGTTTTATTGGAGTTGTTGAGTGGAAGGAAATGTGATCAAGAAAGTTTACTTGTGAAATGGGCATTGCCATTGATTAAAGAAATGAAATTTGGTGAATTTTTGGACAATAGACTTATGTTGCCTAGTGATATTAGGCCACTTGTTAGATTATCTAAAGTTGCATTAGCTTGTGTTGGAAATTCAAGAAAAAGTAGGCCATCAATTGTACAAGTTGCTAATATTTTGAATAGCTTAGAAGTTGGATTATTATAAGTTTTAAGTCAACAAAACATTATTGTCATGCTTAGGTGGCATTTATGTTTGAAAAATGTTAAGAGTTTATATATATAAAATATTGAATCTTTGATTATTATTATTTTGTTGTTCATTTGAGTTAAGAATTTGTAAATATTTTTTATGGACTTTGACTTTGCATCTTGTATTGCTAGCAGTGCATATTATGGAATGTTGATGAGGGAAAAAATAATCAAATTATGGAGATATTTGTTACAGTATAAATTTGTTAATATATAGGACAAAGTGTGTAATTGATTTATTGTTGTTATTTTTCTTGTGGACCAAGGAATGCTAATTTTCTTTATGTTTTTATTAGTGTTATGTACTTGTATTGTCGTTCAATTAATTCAAATTTACGTCACGTAGGTTAATTTATTTCAGAGTTGGGATATATAATGGAGAAGTGATCCCGATTGATTCAGATTTGCAATGCATAGACCCATTTAAGGGGAAAAAAGCCTTTTAACGTGATTTTTTTTATTAGGGATCTGACTAATTTGATTTTCCATCTCATAAGACACATTTAACAAATTGAGAAGTGCTCCCAACTAATTTATATTTGCGTCACATAAATAGGCTCATTTAAAGAAGAGGGACTTATAACATATTTTTTTCCTAT